AGTAAATCCACCATAAGGTCTCTAAATGTCCACACCATTCTGACAAGAGGTCTGAGCAAATAAATAAATGAAGAAATCTGTGAGGGTGTTCTGTGTTTGTTAAATGTTATTGTAAGTATTTTAAGTCTTTAAGGTGTAGCTTTACTTGGCAAATGTGCATTAATGGAGATAAATATGAACTCTACACATTTTACACATTCAAATCAGAGAGACACAGAGCGTGTATTCTCTTTCTGGTGGACTAGTAATTTGCTATGCCTTGCTTGTTTTTGCACATACATGTGAATAACTGTCCTTGTTTACGACAGCAGTGAATTAACATTACACTTTGAGATGGATTAGCACCAAATCACAAAAAACACCAAATCTGCCTGCACTTCACAGGTATTTTTTACTTATTCTTATTAAACCTCTGCATGTTGAAGTTAGGTTGAGTGTGGTGGAATTACACAAAGTCATCAAACTTCACAAACCAATAAAAATTAAAGCTGCAAGTAGTGTTAAACAGGCCCTTGCCCCCAAACTGAACGTACCAAACATTACCAGATTCCGTGCACTTTTAGTACCAGGGACTGTGGTATAAGACATTACAGTGGAAACGTTGTAGGAATCATGTCTGTCCGAGTCACTATAGCATTTTATTATAACCATTTTTTTCTCTTTATCTTTATTACTCATGCACATTATCATCATATTGACATTTGTAAATTTATGAATGGAAAATGATGAAATGAACATCTTTGCTATTTACTAAATTTCAAAATACAGTAGGCTACAGATGTTCCAAATACTTTTCAAGTTACTGTACAACTTAAATTAGTTTAACAGAGCTTTCCCCCCTTGAAATGACATGTACAATGTACAAATTCCTGGTTTACAGAATAGTCTAAATGAGTCTAAATTTAGTTTGTCCCATTAAATTGAATTAGAGGTTAAACTTAATGGAAAAGTAATTTTCATCATAAACTAAGTCCAGAATTCTGTTTCGTATTTTGGTCAGTTTGAATCCATATATTAGAGGATTAATAACAGGGGGGAATCAGCAGTAATTCTATATGGATGAAGTTTTGAAAGCTTTGAGGTAAATCTGTGGAGCCAAATCGCATATGCATCATATCAAAAAAGTACTACAACCAAGAAAGTGACTAGAGAGGTAAAATGAGGCACACATGTCTGCATAAACTTCACCCTGTCATCTTTGGACCTCACACAAGTTCTAATAAGATGCATATAAGTCCAAAATATGAAAAGGCCATGAGACACATACAGAAAAATTGTAATATACGCAGCTACACTGTTTGAGAAAGTGTCATTTTCAGGGCAAGCAAGTTTAACGATCATCCAGTTGACACAAAACAGTCTGTGAATATATGTACTACATAACTTTAGTCTTGAAGTGAGCACAATATTGATGTAGGAAATGAAGAAAGGTGTTAGCCAGGTGAAACATACCAGCAGAGACAACCTCCACTTTGTCATGAAAGAGTGGTAGTGCAGTGGTCGACATATAGCCAGATATCTGTCATAAGCCATAACTGCTAAAATTGACAAATCACAGCAAAGAAATGAGTGTATGATAAAAGCCTGTATAAAGCATCCTTCATATGAGATTTCTTGAGAAGAGGACAGCAGATCTAAGAGGAATTTGGGGTAGAAACCTGTGGTTCCATAAAGTCCATTCATGCAAAAACTGCACAATAAGATGTACATAGGTTCATGCATGTTTTCATCTAAGATTATGATCATGATGACAGAGGTATTTAAAAACAAAACCAAACAATAATACAGTAAAGCGAGTGAAAAAATAGAAATTCTGTAATTCAGTGTCTCATCTATCCCTGAGAGAGTGAAAATTCTTACAACAGAAACATTAGTCATGATTAGAAAACAAATCGTTCTACCTGTCTACCAGTGTTACAACATACAGTAGCAGGTTACGAAGTAGTATGTGCAGTCTGTTCTGCCTCTGGTTCCTCTCCACACTATCTATAAATAACATCTTTGACTGTGACAACACAACAATTGGGAATTCAGTTGGTCCAGTAAAACATGGGGAGAAGTAATCAAAACAATTAAGAAGATAATTTGCATCATATCATCATCATCAGGTGGAGCAAGTAAGGTAACACAGTGGAATGTTTTCTGGCTTCTGAGCCAATTCAGAGCCATACAGGATGAAGTTGTATGGCTATATGTATCTACAGCTCAGTGGAGCTGCCTTGTCCACCTGTCGCCATGGTGGGCAGTCTCTGGCTGGACTTCTAAATGTAGAGGCCAATCATTTGATAATGCCAGCAACATGTCGGGACTGTACAATGGACTACATTCACATTGAAAAGAAACACATTAGTCCATCGTGTGGCTTGTGCTGCCCTTTCTCTAAATTTAGTTGGTGAAAACAACATAGAGGCCAGCAGTCCAGAGGTGGGACAGTATTTCAGAGCTCTGATATAATAATAATAGACCTAAAATTAAAGTCACTATCAAACAGTCAGTGGAGCTGCCAAGCTGACTCCACTAAAGCTCTCTGGCAACACTACTGTAAAATAAAGGTTGTCTTAGAGAGCATATCTGAAGTGAAGCCAGCACACTGTGTTTAAAATAACATAAACAGGAAACTGCATTTATTTATTTCTAGAATAACATTTTTACTCAATTCCAACTGAGGAGTTTGAAGCTGCAAGAGGACATAGGACATAGACCTCATGACAGCAGTGCAGCTTCTCAGGGTCTCTGCATGAGTTTGTGTCAACACAAATAGATTTTTTTTGCAGACTTTGAAAGATAAGCATTAGCTGTACCAGGTGTGTACCAGATGTACCAGCGGACCAAAAAGATGACAGTGCAGAAAATTATGCTTTATTTAATGGGAAAAGCTAATTTAAGTAATTGTCGTGTAAAAAATTCAAGACTTAGGCCAGATAAAAAAAAGCTTAAACATTTCTCAACATGTTTACTTTCCGCAAAAATAGACACCAATTAGAGTAAAATAGTTTCATCAGAGAGGGTCAGAGATCGATGCAAAATAGAGTCCCATTCTGTTACCAGAACAGAGACCCGAGTCATGTAACAACTGATTTTCAACTTCTTTTGGACCTCCTATTAAAGCTCTGCTTCTAAGCATTATGTCATCTCTTGGCTCTTTTTCCTGCTGCAACTGGTTCTGTGGAAATTCCCAGATAGCCAAGTGGCTGTCATAGATTCACCTTGTGGCTGATCAGCAGAGCAAAGATGTCTGCCTGACGGTGTACTGCTCTACTTCTCTGTGGCCTTGGCATGCGTCTTACTGATCATGACATCTCATCCAGCTCTGGCCTTGTGGAAAATCCTGGTGAGCTAGTGTTTTCTGTGCTGTGTGCTAGAGACAGGGCATCTTTACTGTGCACTGACTTAAGGCCCATTTATACTCCTTCGTAGGGTCTACGTGCGTACCTACGCCGTAGGCTGCGCATGTAGCCATGCATTTATACTTGTGCGTAGGTGTGTCCGTCGTTCTGCAATTACACCCCCAACTGCTAGTCTAGTAGCGCTAAAGCGTCCACTGTGTTGACTTCTGCCGAGCAGGCTAACTTCCAGTTTAGCCCTCCGCTAACGTAAATGGGGGTAAAATTGTATACGTGTGGCTGGTGTAGCCTTTTCAAATGTTACCGAGCGAATGGATCACATTCTGATAGCGAAACGAGTCATTTCGCTCGGGTTGCGACGGTCAAATATATGGATTAACTGTGTGACAGCTGCCGTTTTAGCCGCTAGTAAATGTTACTTCAAAGCACGGGGTACTTCTGCTAGATGTGTAGTTACATTTTGAAGGAGGTGCACACCAGGCAACGGTGTCACCTCTGCGTCGCCTCTGCGTAGCCCTGTAGCCTACGCCGTCACCTACGCCGTTGATTTGATGCAGAAGTATAAATTGCACTTTACTGTGCTCCCTCTCTCTGCTGTGTCTTCCTATACCTCTGCCTGACACACACACACACACGCACCCACACTGGTCCTCCTGTTGAGCCCAGGCAGTCAGATACAGAGCTACAAAGTTTTAACACTCTGATCTTAACTTTAGCTGTCTAGATAGTTACCAAATATACAAGCATGCATATTTTAACATTATTAAAGTGGTCTTCTTCTTATGTTTTTGCAAAGATTTTGATTTGTTTATACTTTCTTATATACTTACACACATGCCTGGTGATAATTGCCCAACACCCGGGTTCATCTATTCACACTAAAAAAATGCTCACATAGAGGAAAAATTATTGTCACTGCTTGGAGCAGAGAGTCATTTTTAAACCTTAAAAGATATTAGATCCTGATCCACCTCGCCAAGGTGTTTCCTCGCCCGCAAAAACAAAACAGTCTGTGCTCTCATGTTTCAGCCTTCTCTTCATGCAGAGCAAGGGCCAGAGCAAATAGGCCTACATACTTTGTGGTGACATTTTTACATTCACTAAAATTAAGTAGGCTACCCTACTTGCAGCACATCAAATTATGTATAATAGCAACCACAGCATCTCGAAAAAAAAACACTGCGCCTCCAAAACGCACCCTTATATTTCTGTATGTACGACTCAAAGCAGTTTCCACTGTATTAAAATAATAATGTTTCACAATGTGCTTTAACATAGTTTTTGCCCATTGAAATGTCTGTACAAATTCCTGGTTTAAAAAACTGTAACTGCATGAGATGCAGGTGTAAAAAAATCTATTTATTTATACACGTCACATGTAACATTCCAGTAAACCAAATAACAAATTTAACACAACATGTTAAGTTGTTGGTTGATCTTCAATAAAATCTGAAAAGTTAAATGCTTTGTATTACGAATTAATCACACATAACAAACTTATACAAAGGCCTGTATTTATCTGTTATGTAGATTGGGACAGATTGAGACATTCTGCAAACATTTGGTGGAAATCCTTAAACCAGAGATCATAATATATCTTAAAGCAAAAATGTTGTAATATTAGTTTGTCACAATAAATTGAATTAGAGGTTAAACTCAAAGTAAATTTTCAGTGTAAACTAAACCAAGAATTCTGTTTCGTATTTTTGTCAGTTTGAATCCATATATTAGAGGATTAATAACAGGGGGAATTAGCAGAAATTCTATAGTGATGAAGTTTTGAAAGCTTTGAGGTAAATCTGTGGAGCCAAATCGCATATGCATCACATCAAAAAGTACTACAACCAAGAAAATGACTAGAGAGGTAAAATGAGGCACACATGTCTGCATAAACTTCACCCTGTCATCTTTGGACCTCACACAAGTTCTAATAAGATGCATATAAGTCCAAAATATGAAAAGGCCATGAGACACATACAGAAAAATTGTAATATACGCAGTTACACTGTTTGAGAAAGTGTCATTTTCAGGGCAAGCAAGTTTAACAATCATCCAGTTGACACAAAACAGTCTGTGAATATTTGTACTACATAACTTTAGTCTTGAAGTGAGCACAATATTTATGGAGGAAATGCAAAAAGGTGTCATCCAGGAGAAACATACCAGCAGAGACAACCTCCACTTTGTCATGAAAGAGTGGTAGTGCAGTGGTCGACATATAGCCAGATATCTGTCATAAGCCATAACTGCTAAAATTGACAAATCACAGCAAAGAAATGAGTGTATGATAAAAGCCTGTATAAAGCATCCTTCATATGAGATTTCTTGAGAAGAGGACAGCAGATCTAAGAGGAATTTGGGGTAGAAACCTGTGGTTCCATAAAGTCCATTCATGCAAAAACTGCACAATAAGATGTACATAGGTTCATGCATGTTTTCATCTAAGATTATGATCATGATGACAGAGATATTTAAAAACAAAACCACACAATAATACAGTAAAGCGAGTGAAAAAATAGAGATTCTGTAATTCAGTGTCTCATCTATCCCTGAGAGAGTGAAAATTCTTACAACAGAAACATTAGTCATGATTAGAAAACAAATCGTTCTACCTGTCTACCAGTGTTACAACATACAGTAGCAGGTTACAAAGTAGTATGTGCAGTCTGTTCTGCCTCTGGTTCCTCTCCACACTATCTATAAATAACATATTAAACTATGACAACACAACATTTGGGAATTCAGTTAATCCAGTGACACTTGGGGAAAACACAAAACAATCAGCAGATTAATTTGTCCAGCATAAAAAAAAAAAACTATTTTTCGTATCATTTGTCAAAAAATCTCTAGTTACATTGTTACAAGTTAAAATATGCATGAAATTATGACAAAGCACATTGATTATTTTCATAATAGCTCATTTTACTACCTTTAGTTTTGTCTGCAGCCTTTGACACTATTAATAACACTATTGTAATTGGTCAGCTATTAAAGTGGTCAAATTCTGTACGTTGAAACAAGTCATGTTGTGGTGGTTTGGCTTTAAAGCATGAAGTGCTTGCTGGAGGCCGTAATGTAATGTAATGCGATGCTACTATGCCAACCAAATGACATTTGTTTTTGGCTAAGCTCATGGCTACGGCACAGATTTGATGCAGAAATAAATCAGGCAGACTGTCTTTGTCGCCCTGCTGATCAGATCAGATCAGAAAACTGCTTCTATGTGTTATTTTTGGAAGGCAAGGATGAACAATGTAAGGGAGAGCGGGGTATGTAGTCACACTTTTCAGACCGTACATCACAATGGTACAAATTTCATACCAAATGAAAGAATGAAGTCTTGGGCACATATTTTTGTATTCATCACATCTTCATATCTTATCTCATTACGGAGTTGTAGACTGTTGAATAGACAGTGTGCACTTGTGACAATTTGCCCCATCAGCAGGTAAGTTGTCACACTGCATCGGATAAGTTGTCACAGTGGATTATCAAACAAAAAAAAATAAAATACAACTACTTAATTGTGAATATTGATTTAATATATTAAATTTAAAATTCATACCAGAACTAAAAATAAAAACAATCAAAGATAACAATCTAGAATATCTGGAAAATCTGTCCTTGTAATCAAAACTTTACTTTACTTCAAACTTTAAAATCATTCTCTGGAGTACAAATAGATCTATGGTTATTGAATGGAACACTGTAAATGTTTAAAAGGGACCTGTTATACTTATTATATATTATATTATACATATTTTCTATCATATCTATGATATTACATTGTCAGATGTTCATGTTAAATAGGGCCAACCTTCAAAAAACAAGGTAAACATATTAAAAGAAATCCTTGTGAGCCAAATCCTCAGATTTCCCATTGCTCTGAATGCTCCGGTTGTTTAGTTTTTTCTACTCTTGGTTACTTATTATGTCACATGGAGCCGGTTTTTCATATATGTTCATTTGTGCACAGCCTTATCCTCCTGGCAACCACTGCGCTCAGTCTGCCTATATGGATCCCAATAAATAACCAATGTTTTTGATAACACATGCTTTCATGCAAATCCTGCAAAGCTACCATACAGGAGTCACAAAACTACATTACAGGGCTGGAACTGCAGTAAAATAGGTCTCCTTTAACTTCTTAACAAAACAGATGTGGTGTTTAAACATACTAATGCAACTAATATGCATTTTTGTATGACAGAGTCTTATTTAGAGTTACAGTTCTGGCACTTAATAAATATAATAATAAATTGCATGGCCTGAGGTGCAAGCATCATTGGCCCATTTGGTGCATTTCATACACTTCATCCACATACTGGCTAAAATTCTGTTTATCAGTTCAAACAATCTTTCTTCCTTCCTTCCTTCCCTCAAAAACACATTTCCTCATTGCAATTACAAATAAATTATTTTAAATTATTTGTCCAATATACTTGTTGCCTAACTAAATTAATGACTGTATGAAGTCTTGTGTAGTCCAGAGATGTGCCTGCTGCTATAAACAACACTGTGTAATCTTTTTTACAGTATCATTTAATACTGGTGTCATATGTTATTACACAATTTCACACTGTTTTATGTGTATATCTATATTGGGGCAAGCTGTCACATGTGACGACTTTCCCCAAAGTCATTGAGACAACTTGCCCCAAACTGACACACATGTTAATGTTAGCTAAATCTCAAGGTTAGCTTAACATAGCACTTCAGCTGAAGTATCAAAAGACACGTTATTGTCTCCTCTAAATTGTGCAAAATTATTATTTTGAACATTTACAGAAATTGGATTGCATAAAATCTAAAGTGCAAATGCTTTATTTTGAAGCACAAAATAAAAAAAAGGAAGTTGTGCTCACCTCAGGTTAGAATGACCTTGACCACATTTGAACAGGCAAAACAAGTCCCACAAAGTGGCTATTTGATTTTTGAGATAGAGCCTCTAGTGTTGGAGTTATGAACAGTGTCACAACTTACACACGTGACAACTTACCCCACTCTCCCCTATTCAGTCATTTGGATAGGACAATTTATGGAATATAACATATGAACCTGTCTGGTTTGCAAGTTCTTTACACGAACAATGAATTATGTCAGAGATCTGTGTCTATTTAGTAAAATGTATGTGATACTATGTAAAGTTACTATATAGTCAATACAATCACAAGTCTGAGCGTTTATCCTTTTTGTTATTAATTTCAATTGTGTTTATTGTACAGTTTCACCATGGAGGAGACAGAATAAAAATTGAAAGTTTAGTAGCAATATGTTGGCAATCACTTACTTTCACAATATTTTCTAACAGACAGAAAGAAGGCACCTAAAATACACATACAGTATGTTTAGTATGCTCAATTCAAAAAGCAGTGGGCATATGATATATGATTGATGAAGAGTAAATCAAATGTCCATGACAATCTAATTCATGTGAAAGGGTTAGACACACAAACACAATAAAGACAATATTCAAAACTTCAATGTCAGCTGGGATTGGCTCCAGCCCCCCGCGACCCTGTACGCAGGATAAGCGGTTAACGATGGATGGATGGATGGACAAGAGCAGAAGAACAAACATTCATATATATATTCACATTACATATAACATACAAGAAATAATGTTGAAAAGATCAATTCTTTGTTAGTAAGAATGTATTGAGGCCTCGCACATGTAGAACAAACTGGGACATTGTGGAGACATTAGGAGGAAAAAACCCAGAATCATGAGATATCTTAAAGCAAACACATCTAATGTTTCACATTAAAGTGAATTGCCTTAGGGGGGCTGCAAATTAGCTCATTACATAATGTTGCAGTGATGTACTTATTTCTATGTAACAATGTTTATCTGTATTGTCTGTGTTGAATAAACAAATTAAAATAATTATTTAAATAATATTCATATAAATATATATAATATAAGAGGTCATTTTCTTTCAACTTTTACTAAACCCAGAATTTTGTTTCGTATTTTTGTCAGTTTAAATCCATATATTAGAGGATTTATAACAGGAGGGATCAGCAGAAATTCAATAGCGATGAAGTTCTGAAGGCTTTGAGGTAAATCTGTAGAACCAAATCGCATATGCATCACATCAAAAACTACTACAACAAGGAATACGATTAAAGAGACTAAATGGGGCACACATGTCTGCATAAACTTTACCCTGTCATCTTTGGACCTCGCACAAGTTATGATAAGACGGATATAAGTCCAAATTATGAAAAATCCATGAGACAAATAAATGAAAAGTGTTGCAAATGAAGCAATGTTACTAGAAACAGTATCAGTTTCGGAGCAAGCAAGTTTAACAATTATCCAGTTCACACAAAAGAGTTTCTGAATTTTCGAACCACATAACTTTAGTCTTGATGTGACCACAACATTGACGGAGTAAATGCAGAAAGGTGTCAGCCAAGACAAACATACCAGCTGGGAGAGCCTCCTCTTTGACATATAAGAGTGGTAGTGCAGTGGTTGACATATAGCCAGATATCTGTCGTAGGCCATAACTGCTAAAATGGACAATTCACAACAAGCAAATGAGTACATGACAAAAGCTTGTAAGAGACATCCTTCATATGAGATTTCTTGAGAAGAAGACAGCAGATCTAAGAGGAATTTGGGGTAGAAACCTGTGGTTCCATAAAGTCCATTCATGCAAAAACTGCACAATAAGATGTACATAGGTTCATGCAGGTTTTCATCTAAGATTATGATCATGATGATTGAGAGATTTAAAAACAAAATCACACAGTAATACAGCAAAGTAAATGTAAAGAGAGTTACTCTATAATTACTTGTTTCATTTACCCCTGATAGAAGGAATATTCTTACAACAGAAACATTATCCATTATTTCCAAATCTTCAGATTCTACCTTTCCGGTGTTACAATATACAATAAGTGGTTTAAGAGCAAGCGTTTACACTGTTTTCTCTGTTCCGGCTGGTAATTCAAACTCTAATCACTGGTCAAGTAGCACTAACACACACACACACACACACACACACACAAAAAGAGTCAAACACAAATTCTACTTCTCCAGCTCCAGCATGACAAAACAGATGTGCTGTAGCTTCATCCCGAAGTCTGTTCTCTCCATACACCTTCCATAAATACCAGCTTTGGCAACAACAACAGAACACCTGGGAATTCAGACTCTATGCAGACTTTATGGTCTGGCAAAGCAAGTGATCAACACAAGTAAGTATTAGTTTGACCATCATCATGTAACTGTTCATCTACAATCAAATAATTAACACATTATGTCTGAATACACTTTATACATATTGGGGGGCATCGCGACTTACGAGCAGTCCCGAATCCTGAATCCTGCCCTGTTTGTCCTAAAAATTTGACTAAACCAGAGTTTTGATTATTTATAGTCTAATAAAACATTAAGTACTGCTTCGTGAAACATTCTTTCAGTGCTGCTGACTACAGCAGGGGCTGCAATGTAATGTCGACACTGTGTCATTAGTGTTGTTATGACTACAAAGTAACACCTAACATGCTCTTTCCCCCTTTTTGTTTTTTAGTGTAATTTAGTGTTTCTCAATGGGGGCGGTACCGCCCAACCGGGG